CCTTAGGCACTATGCTACCAGAGCTCCCATACGAGTACTAGTTATCATTGAAAGCTGGCAGTTCAAACCCACCAGCCACTCCTCAGAAGAAAGACTGGGCAATCTACTTCCACAGTGATGCCACCCAAAGAGGAGTTGCTATGAGTTGGAATTGACTCGACAAGGGTGAGTGTCTTCAGTTACTATGAAGCTGACTTCAGCTTATGACTACTCTATGTGTGTCAGAGTAAAACTCCTCCACTGAGCTTTCAATGGCTGATTTTTTTGGAAGTAGATCACCAGGTCTTTCTTTTGGGACACCTCTGGAAGGACTCAAAATGCTAACCTTTAGGTTAGCAACTAAGTTTCTTAACCATTTTTATCACCCAGGAGTTCCATGTGTATATAGTATTGTAGTTAGTTGCCATTGAGCTGGCGCTGACTCATGACTACCTCATGTATATCATTACAAAACATTTCCTATTTGTGCACTATCTTCATGATTTTTGGTATGTTTGAGCTCCCTGTACTACATATATAATACATATACATACAGAGACACTCATATATGGATGTACAAATGACATAGGTGTTAGGCTGTTGCATATACTAATAAAGAGCAGGCAAAAAGCATCAGAGCATAATTTTGATAAGCATTCAGTTAAAGATGGCTTTATCTATTACTAATGTTATTCAGCTGATGCAATCAGGATTTCACAAGAAGACTCACCAGCTGAGTACAAAGGGTGTCAGGCTGGTGATAATGGCCTGGGACTCTTCAAGCACATTAGGTGCAAATCATGAAGGGGTAATAGTCACCAACCTAGAACACTGAGATAATTTCTACATGTTGGGACAGAACCTCAGAATCTACAATATATAATTTTCTCTTCATATTTCTACCTCTGGTAATAAAAGGGGTCTGCATTGCCTCATAAACCAACCTTCTACTTCATAAACTCTATTCCTCCTGGACAGACATACTTGATAAGATTGGGTGTGCCTATTGAACAATTGAACACTAGAGTAGAAAATAGTTTTGTAACATAAATTGAATTTTTAGCCAAAGGGAATTGAAATTTTAATTCAGTAGATAATTTAAATTCACAGTGAAATAGCCACTGTAGCCACTGGATATGCAGGTATATGAAAAATAGAGTTGGACAGTTGAAAGTAAACAAAATCATGCATTTAAAAATTTTTCTTACCGTAAAATATATTCACAAATAGCCTTAAAAATACTCACATTTTGGAGTACTACGCATTTAGTCTGATATTATCACTTATGAAGTGTAGTTAGGGACACCTTTTTTGAAATTAATGTCAAAACCAATGTAGGAAGAAAACTAACATGCTGAGGGCTGCTGAGGCTAACAAGCCCAAAGTCGACAAATAAATTGGCATAATCCCGATATTATCAAACCACACAGCAGGCCATTAATTCAAGTCCACTGTAAGTCCTAAGGTTGGCAGAACATGCCAGACTACTGACCAATGACACAGCTACATGCAGGGTGCAAGCGTGCCATAAACTAGAGACCATTCCCAAAACTGTTTCTTATATACGGGAAGCAGATCACATA